CATCATCCTCGTCCTATATCACTTAATGGCAAAATAGAATTCTAAGCAGATTACAAGTTAAGGCCATATAATTTGGCCCTGACAGCCGTGAGTAAGTGGAGCTGCCTTACACTGGAGCAGATTATTGGTCCATCTAACCCAGTATTGTCTCCTCTGACTGTCATTAGTTCTCTAAGGTTTTGTGGGCAGGGAGCTTTCCTCTTCCTGAAACCCCTTTTTCACTGGAGAAGCCAGGCGTTGAATTTGAGACCTTCTGCATCCAGCCATGTGTTCTGTCGCCAAACTGAATTCTGCCCATTGAGCCAGTCACCATGCCTCAAACAATAATCTTATCTCACAGGCTTTCTGTAAAGGTAAAAACAAAAATGACTGACCGCCTTGAGCATTTGTGGGCAGCTGTAGGGACTGAGTTGAATTACTTAAGAGAATATTCCACGTGCTTATGGGAATGACCATTGGGTAGTGTGGGCCCACGATTGTGGAATAGTTTCACATCTTGCATGAGATGGCGGCAGATAAGCAGGGGCTGCTGGGCTTGCGTTTGCCGTCCTCTCAAACAAGATGTATCCGAACATGAATGTGACCGTACAACTTGGAAGCAGAGAAAAACGATGAAGCTTTCCAGGACGGGTGTAAATGTTACTATCCCGCTAAAACATCTGCTTGTCCTCGTTAAGCAGGTATCATTTCATGCCAAGTAAGAGCCATGTTGTGTTCATTTAAATGCCAACCCATAATGAGGCTCCTTAAGCCCCTTCTGCTGTGGTAATAGAGATACCAGGGGGCGGGGGGGGGGGAGATGCTATGCTCCAGTCCTGTGCACACCTATTCATGTGTAAGGTCCACACATTACAGTTGCTGTAGGAGATACCAATTTCGCACATTAGCAAATTACGATAGTTAGTCCCAAATGCATCTCAGTACTCTTTGTTCCCTGGTGTTTGGAGATACGTGTAAAACCAGTTTTAAGTATACAGTCTCTCTCTCTCATGTTTAATCATCCTGATCTCCTAATGAAGTAACCCTTTTAACTTACTGCAAAGAGGAATTCATGCCACGCTGAGGTTTCCCTTAAATATCAAAATAAACACAGAGCTGCCCTAAGTCCTCCGGTCCATGCAGAGGATTAGGTTTCAAGTCTCATTTTAATAGAGGAGCCCACAGTTTGGGGGGCTGAGTCTCCAGTTCTCATTGCTGTCAGTGAATTCCAGTTTTAAAACTCTTGTCTCCCAAAGTGCATCAACAGGCATGAAGCACCGATTGGCATGGATTTGTGACGGTGTATGTTCAAAGTATTGCCACCTTCAGGGGATTTAATTCATTCCTGATTATCTCCCCCCAACACCCCCACCAAAAGGAAAGTGAAACGTTATTTGGTGTGAAAGTAAAATCTTCTACACTCATAAATCTCTCTATATTTATGTATTATCATCACCGCACAATTAACTTTTAATTTTCAGACTAGAGATAAGGGAGAGTCACACTGTGGCCAAAGCACAGAATTGCCAGTTAGATGCATATGAAGTGGGAATTGCAGGAAGGAAGGGTGCTTTGGAAATGGAAGCACATTTCCTAAGAACTCATAGCGTGGTTCCTGCTGCATATCCAGCAGAAAGAAGCCGTATCTGTGAAGCACAACTTGTTCAGAAGACCTGGGTGAATGGAAAGGTATATCACCTGACACCAATGGCATCAAAAAGACCATAAAGATGGGGCCAAGTGAGCCTCTCTCTTCACAACTGTGGTGCCACTGCTGAAAAGGCCCTGTTCTAACTCGCAACAGTGCCTCGGATCTTAAGCTTTAGATAGATTTCTATGAAGTGTTATCCTCCATAGCACAAATATTTACACATGAGGGAGGGAACAGTAAGCAATGAGGTCAAAGAAAAATGCAATTTGAGTGATTATTATTATTATTATTATTATTATTATTAAAATTTGTATACCACCCTTCATCTGAATATCACAGGACAGTTTACAACATAAAAATAAAAAATGAGAACACAAAATTCATAATAAAAAACAATAACCCCCTCTCCCACGAACACATTTAAAAGGACATAGAATGTTAATCAGCCGATTCAATTAGATCTTGAATGTATGCAAAAATAAGCACAGTGACCCATGACAGCAGCAGTAATGAGTGTTTTCACTATGACACAGCTGGCCCTCTGGAAATTGTGCTGTAAAGTCACCAGTTCCAGTGCACAGCACAAGACAATTACAGATTAACCCGTTTTGGTTAACTTTCCTGTAGCCAGTGCATCATGCTGGATTTGTGCACATCATTGTGGGTGCGCCTAGGTACGTGCACAACCTTATAAGGAAGCCTTCTGTGAACCATGTTGTGGACATGAAAAGCCAGCAGCTACCTCCGTGATCTGACCCAGTCAGAGAAATAAATAGCTGCCCTCTGGCTGTGTGTACAACCCAGTTCCAACCATCCTTTATCCACAAGGGTGCGGATCTGCTACATACATAAACACTTGGAGGAATTTGACATTGTGATCTTCTTCCTTGTGACTGTGGGTTGAAGCTGGATGCCTTCACATGACATACTCAAGACCTGTCCAATAGCAGCTTGGCAAACATTGCTCATGAATTTTCAGAAGATCATAGATCAGCAGTAGTTTATAGGCTTATCCACATTTATCTTTTGCCCTGCTCTTTCCAGGCCAAGTGTCTGAGTGTTGTTGTTTTTTGCCCTGAGCTTTGCCTGCAGAAACCAGCTCTCTAAAGCTGATTCAGAGCAAACGTCAATTCAGGTTTTCAGTGGATTGACGTTTGCTCCAATTGAGCTTTGTAGAGTGGGTTTTCATGGGGGAAATTCCAGAGCAAAAGAAAAGGGTGCTTGGATACAGAGCTTTAAATTGTGGACCATGCCTGGAAAGAGCGGAGGAAAGTTAAGCGCAGATAAGCCCTGTATCTTGTGGAGCATATTCATACTTAACAATCTGCTGTCAATTTTTACCCTTGATTTACAGTTGACTTGAATTCATCCAATTAAATGTAACCAAGCTATGGTTTCCTTCTTCAGAGTAGACCAATATGAACTCAAGGCTAAGATGTGCTAGCACAGAAGGAGTGTAAACAGGAACACAGAAAGCTCCCTAGTACAGAGTCAGACCATCAGTTCAGCTAGATTAGGATTTACTACAGTAGGGCTGTAGTCCTTCCAAATGTTGCTCAGCTACAGTTCTCATCATCTTTGACTATTGGCCCTGCTGGCTGGGGCAGATGGGTGCCAGCATCCAGCAACATCTAGAGAGCCTCAGGTTCCCCACCGCGGTGTACAAGAACAAGTAACAGCTTTGCTGGGTTTCAGACATGGCCCTTTCTGAGCTCTGAGATGTCAGGGATTGAACCTGCATCCTCCTGTGTGTTAAAACATATGCTCTACAGCTGAACTACATCTTTTCCCATCAGTTACCGTTGTGTCATTTATTGAGATACAAATTCTAGAAAACGAATATCATGGGCATTTCACTCCATTTGTTTCCGAGCATATTCAGCAATTTTGGTGGCACTGTGGATTTTTAAAGGTTGAACTTAACACTTGAAGGTTTTTAGAAATTATTTCCACCGGTAGCCCCGCCCCAAAGTGAGCTCACTCTGCAAGCTGGAATATTCCACTGGGATCAGTTCAAGTGTTTGGCTTTCCTTTGCCAACGCCATTCTGTCACTCCGAGGCTCAGAAGGCTGGTCTGTAAATACAATCATGCACGAACCATTTACTTCACGAAGTCTCCGCGAGCAAGCAGATCACTGAACCCAGAGGTGAGGGGATAATTAATGTGAACAGTGTTTGTTGTGCTCTGAGCAGTCTTTTAGATCTGCCCTCAAAGGGAAGGCAGTGGTTACCTCCAAGATGTGGACAATCCATCTTGAGCTGGAAATGTAAAATCATACGGACGTCTGCTCTGCTCTCAAGAGATCTCAGCACTTTTTGGAAGAATGCTTTCATTGACTTCAGCATTTTGCTGTAGGCTTCCCTCTGTCTGAGTAGCAAACTACTCCCGCGGTTAGTAGGTGATCCACAGTTCCTGAGCTCCTTGATGCTAATGATCTGTAAATCATCATTTTGCCATTATCGGAATTAATAATGGGCCAAATTATTACAATATTGCAACGTCTGTAGAATTGTGTTTTCACACTCTCCACCCACCATGTGTGTCCTAAGAGGCCTGGACATGTGCTGCCTCAGACATTTCAGTCAGTATAATGCCCAGGACACAGCGAAAGGAAAACAGTTCTACCTGTATCTGAAGAAGTGTGCACGCACACGAAAGCTCATGCCAATAATAAACTTAGTTGGTCTCTAAGGTGCTACTAAGGGACGCGAGTGGCGCTGTGGGTTAAACCACAGAGCCTAGGACTTGCCGATCAGAAGGTCGGCGGTTCGAATCCCTGCGACGGGGTGAGCTCCCGTTGCTCGGTCCCTGCTCCTGCTAGCCTAGCAGTTCGAAAGCACCTCAAAGTGCAAGTAGATAAATAGGTACCACTCCGGGGGGAAGGTAAACGGCATTTCCATGCACTGCTCTGGTTCGCCAGAAGCGGCTTAGTCATGCTGGCCACATGACCTGGAAGCTGTACGCTGGCTCCCTCGGCCAATAAAGCGAGATGAGCGCCGCAACCCCAGAGTCGGTCACAACTGGACCTAACGGTCAGGGGTCCCTTTACCTTTAAGGTGCTACTGGAAGGAATTTTTTAATTTAGTTCTACCTGAGAAAGAGCACTATTCAACCAAGATGCTGATTCTAGCCAATTCAGACACGAAGAAGCAGAAAGTATGAGGGGATGGAGAAGAAATTCTATTCAGTTCACATTTAAAGGAGAATGTACCTCGTTCGTACTTTGCAAGGAATACGCACAGCCGCTTTCCAGAATTTCGGAGAGGTCCCTCTCAACTCCACCTGGAGACACTGGAATCATAGACTTGTAGAGTTGGAAGGGACCACAGGGGTCATCTAGCCCAACCCCCTGCAACGCAGGAATCTTTTTGCCCAACGTGGGGCTCAAACCCACGACCCTGAGGTTTAGAGTCTCATGCTCTACTGGCTGAGCTACCCCAGGCAAAAGCATGCTGGCATTGGTGGAGATTGAGCCTTCGAACTTTCGTGTGCTCAGGAGATGAGCTATAGCCCATCTTCAGCCTTTTTTATATATTTATAATTTAGACTGTATTCAGTTTTAAGTTAGCACTCACAGCAAGAATTCATGCGATCACACAGTCTCTGCCTCTTAAACTTCCTTTGCATGTGGCTCGCCAAAATGTGCTTGAAAGATTTCATTTCTGATCTGCATATTCCCTTTCATCTCGCTGAGCTCTGAAGTATGCTTTGCAACATTTGCTGAGGAGGGAAGGTTTGGATGGGGATGTTATTCAACCATGCAGTAAACAAAAACAAACGAGAGAGAGAAGTGCATATTTTTCTTGTCTCGCAGCCTTTGGGGAAAGTTGGGGTGGTGGGGTTTTTTTGGAGCGAATGCTTAGATCTTGTGATGCCCAAACAGAATGTAGGAAGAAAAACTGCGGGTGGATTTTAAAAATTAGCCATTAACATTTGCAGCCAGGAGCCTTCGGATGAAAAAAAATCTACAATGAAAAATGAATTAATTAGAGCGCCCTTAAGATGCTGAACCTGCCTTAAATATGTTGATGGGGAGAGCTAATTAATCACTACAGAACGAGGTCTGCAGGAAAGCATACATAGAACTTTGCGGGGGGGCGGGGAGGAAATGTATCTGTGTACTTCCCCCGCTCCCTTTAATCTCAAGAATATTTAAACTATTGTACAGTTAAGGCTCATTTATTTGTGTTACATCTTTGTTGAGTGTGATTCAGAAGTTCAGGGAGAGACCATGTTACACATCAGAATGCAGAGGGATTGTTGCATGCCTGAACGCAGCCGCCTGGTAGGAAAGTTCGCTACACATGGATGCGCTGATATTTGTTTCATGTGTGAGAAAGAACCACAGGCAAATGGGAGAGCATCTGCTTTACATGCCGAATGTCCCAGGTTCGAATCCTGGCAGTTCCAGGTAGGGCCGAGAAACGGCCCCATCAGAAACCCTGGAAATCTGCTGCTGTAGGATTGAATTAGTTAAGAGATCTGACTTAGTGCAAGGCATTTATTTATTTATTTATTGGCATTATTTGCACCAATTTTAAAAGGAACATGATGTTCCATATAGGCCAGGCCTATATAACATGTGATTACCAGGCCGCATAGCAGCGTAGAGTTGGAAGGGACCCCAAGAGTCATCTAGTCCAACTCCCTGCAATGCAGGAATCTCAGCAAAAACATCCATGGCAGATGGCCATCCAGCCTTTGCTAAAAAACCTCCAAGGAAGGAGACCCCACAACCTCCCGAGGGAGACCGTCCCACTGTCGAACAACTCTTACTCTCAGAAAGTTCTTCCTGATGTTTAGTCAGAATCTCATTCTTGTAATTTGAAGTCAGGCAGGATGATGTCAGCTAAAGGCATCCAGACTGGTGCCTTATTCGAGGTGTATTCCACAACATGTTCTTCACAGAATAGTAACAACAACAACAACAACAACAACAACAACAACTTATTATTTGCAGCCCGCCCATCTGGCTGGGCTTCCCCAGCCATTCTGGGTGGCTTCCAACAAAGATTAAAAATACATTAAAATGTCACACATTAAAAACTTCCCTGAACAGGGCTGCCTTCAGATGTCTTCTAAATGTTAGGTAGTTGTTTATCTCTTTGACATCTGATGGGAGGGTGTTCCACAGGGCGGGCGCCACTACCGAGAAGGCCCTCTGCCTGGTTCCCTGTAACCTCACTTCTCACATAGCAGACCTTGTCAAACAGCTCTTAAAATGTTCGCCACCCCCACCGTTGTCACTGCTGTTGTGCAATCCCAGGCAGCCAACAAATTACTGGTGCTTTATCGGGCTCCTAGTGGACTTCCATAAATGGCTGTTGCGCCATGTTTGCGTCACAAGGTGAGCAGGACCGGCGAGACTGCCTCTCTGTTGTAACAAGATCTGACCTGATTTCCTGGTGCCTTACGCTGGGAGTAAGCTCCATTAAACTCAGTGGAACGGAGCAGACATCGCAATGCTTGTACTGTTGATAACAGAGGTCTCCCTTGCCCAGTCCACTGTCTCCGAGTATGGCTAGCCAGGTGCCCCAGGGAAATTCATGAGCAAGGAATAGCCATGTTGAAGGTGATTACTGCACGGAACAAACTGGCAAATGTAACATTTTAAGCGGAAACATAAATAACCGCTGGAAACGTTAATGGCCATCCACCAGGACTGTTTTGGCAATGCTTTTAATTCCCCATATCCCCTAGCGTGTGAAATGGTCTTATTTTCCTCTCAGAGGATAGCTGGGGACAAGCGTTCTGACTTGATTTAGTTGCCATGCGGTGTAATGATGCAGAAAAGTAATATCGCCAAGTTCGGTGTCACAGTTTCAGCGTAATAGGAAGCTGATTGGCTTCATCCCTTCTCCTGGCTGCCTTTTCCTCTTGTATAAATTCGATCTAATTGCCAGCCTTATCTTAAGCTGCTCCTTAAACGACCCCTCGTTAGGTCTACTTAAGGCACATGTGTCTTTGTGTGTTCTGCAGACTACAAAACACACACGCACGCAACAAAAATTGTAATGAAAATAGAAACAACACTGCAGTGTGATAGAAGCTTTCATTAGACGATTCCTTAATGGAAACCTGCTGCACTCCCTTGATTGCATAATCAAGAGCTAATGAAATTGTCTTGGTAACAAGAGTGAGGGGGTTGTAGAACATCCTCTCTTGAGACTGAAGTGGAAAGACAGTCGTGCGGTCGTGAAGAGGAGGCTACTGATTGTTCACAGTTTGAGTCTGATTGCCCTTAACGCAAGCTAAACAACTGGATCATCTCAAAACTTTATTGTTATTGTTTCCTTGAAAGTTACCAGTTTTGACTTGTGGGAGAAGTTTTGGAGTAGTTGCAGAAGACAGAGGACCACAGTTAGCCAAATAGTTATCAGGAGTCTAAAGCAAAGCTGACCACCTGTACTGTTTTGCTAGTGTCAGCTCTGGAAAGATTTTGTGAAATTGGGAGGGTTGAGTGCAGGTGAGGAAGCAAGTAAAATAAAACCAAAGTCAGCTCCTTCTCTTGATGAAACCTCCAGGCTTTCACTTTTTGTGAGACTTCCCACAAACAGGGGAACCATATAAGGTAAAGGGACCCCTGACCATTAGGTCCAGTCGTGGCTGACTCTGGGGTTGCGGCGCTCATCTCGCTTTATTGGCCAAGGGAGCCGCGTACAGCTTCTGGGTTATGTGGCCAGCATGACTAAGCCGCTTCTGGCAAACCAGAGCAACGCACAGAAACGCCGTTTACCTTCCCGCCAGAGTGGTACCTATTTATCTACTTGCACTTTGACGTGCTTTCAAACTGCTAGTTTGGCAGGAGCAGGAACCGAGCAACGGGAGCTCACCCCATTGTGGGGATTCGAACCGCCGACCTTCTGATTGGCAAGTCCTAGGCTCTGTGGTTTAACCCACAGCGCCACTCACGTCCCTGGGGAACAATATATGTGGCTCTAATGACAGTTAATGTCTCTTTCCACAGGAGGAAATCCCAAAGGGAAGTTCGCCCTTGGCATGGTTCAGAATGAATGGAAGGTTTATGTCAAGAGACCATTAGATCGGGAAGAACAGGATGTCTACCTTCTGAACATTACAGCGACTGATGGACTGTTTGTAACACAGAGTGCTGTGGAAGTGATTGTCACAGATGTTAATGACAACAGCCCTGTCTGCGATCAGGTTGGTTGGCAACATATATTTTTTTAACAAAATTAAAAATAGAGTGTTGTTGTCTAGGTTTATATATCACACCTTCCCATTGGCAAATTTAAATTGGCCAGTGAAATGCCTGGACAATGCAGTACAAAATCGTACCAGATAAGGAGCATCACAAAGACCAGGGATGTATATAGGTGCTTCTCCATATGTTGACTACAACTCAGACATACATAATTTTATTTGTATGTCACCTTTCCAGAGCTAAAACCAAGCTCAAGGCGACTTACAACATGACAGCATTTACATAATTACAAATGTAGCAAAAGTAGTCATAAACGATAAATAAAGCATGCCAAAAAGTTCGACCATATTGAACAATTTCCATATAAATCATAAAATCTGAAAATAAAGATAAAGTGGTACCTTGGTAATTGAACGGCTTGGATCCCGAACAAATCGGCTCCTGAATGCCACAATCCCAGAAGTGAGTGTTCCGGTTTGCGAACGTTTTTCAGAAGCCGAACATCCGACGCGACTTCTGCAGCTTCTGATTGAGTGCAGGAAGCTCCTGCAGCCAATCAGAAGCCATGCCTTGGTTTTCAAACCGTTTTGGAAGTTGAACAGAATCCCGGAATGGATTAAATTTGAGAACCAAGGTACAACTGTACACAAATTAGTATGCCCCCTCACCAACGAAAAACCCTCAACAATACCAACCCAAGAGCCTGTTTAGTAGCCTCTACTTTTGTAGCTGGAGTCAGTCCAGGCCCCACCCTCCCAGGCCAAGTGAAAAAAAGCCTGCAAAACAGGGGATAGGTCTTCTAGGACTCACAGCCAAGGTGGTCTTCTATCATCCCTGAGTATCCACTTAATTTATACTGGAAAGCTTGGGTTTGTATTTTCTGTACCTTGGGGTTTTGTTTTTTTTTGCAAGTCCAATGCTGAGATGTCCATGAGATAATGAGAAATTGGAAATGTGAAGCTGTCATTGGCCCACCTAGCTCAGTATCGTTTACACAGGCTGGCAGCAGCTCCCTGGCATCTCCGGCAAGGGACATTCCCAGTCCTACCTGGAGATGCCGGGAATTGAATCTGGAACCTTCAGTGTGTAAAGCAGATACTGTGCTGCTGAGCTATGGCCCCTCATGGCGCAAAAGCCATCTCTTTTCTAAAACCATACAAACAGTTTCGTTCACAACAGCAATCACCTTCTGTCGTTTTGGGTTTTGGTCCTCAGGTCACATATATGGCATTGTTTCCTGAGGACATTCCACCCAACAGAGTCATCCTTAAAATGGGC